GGGAACAAAATATCTTTAGTTGTCGAAACTAATCCTTTTTCTCAGTGTATGGTGTAATGAATACGAAGAATTAATCATTAATGTTCTTGATGCAAACAAATTCCTAATTCAAGCGCAAATGTTTGTGCATTTTATCCTTAGCAGTACAGCAGCTCGCTATACAACAATGTATGTATGTAAGTAGTAAAAGCGTGAACGTAAAGGCAACAACCATCTAAAGTCCTTCAAGAGACTGTTCTACTAAATACATACCAACTAAATCTTTACTGATTCGTAGCAGCAGAAATAACTATTTATGTAGTCGCTTTAGTGGCATGGCAGAAGGTATTAGTGGTAGCATAACCTCAGGACATGTTGTCATATCCTTCATTGCGCTCGTACAGCACGCGCCGAATTGCCATTACTGTGATGTGAGTTTGTTTTTTTTTCAACTCCAGGCGGGAACAGCATGCGCATGCGGGGGTGTAGCGCTACGACGGCGAAAGTGTGGAAATAAATTGCGCGAATATTATCACAAAATTAACAATACGACGACATAGTGATGCGCAAAGAAGCATAATAATAATAAAAATAATGAAGCAAAGCATAAAAGAATATCACAAACAAATGCAAATGTACACAGGCGGATGCGCTGCGCATCTGGATTGACGAGGGATTCAATTAAAGTGATTGTACAGCTGGGTAAAATTGGTAGCAGGAAGTCGAACGCAAAATGAAGTGAACGAGTTTCTATAGGCATTGTTTGCTCGGGAAAATTAATAAAAGCTGCATATTATCGACATATGTACATACATAAACACGTACATATACATGTATATATCTGGAGAAACCATGAACAACATCTTCCAAATGCGCCTTTAGACGCATACGCTCTAAATTGTTTAATTTTCCAAAAAATGCTTTTCAAAGAATTTTACAGAATATTGGTTGAAAAAGCTTCCACTAAAAGCCAGCTTGATGATAGGGAAAACTTAAATAAGCCCGTCGGAAAAGCCTTTATGAAATATGGTCCGTTAAGGTATGGCAAGCTCGAACTTCGTAGAGGAATAATGAACCTACAAATCTTCGGAAATAGGTAGGGAAACCCTTGAACAATAAGTTTGAAGTATACAAAGGCCATTAAAATGCCAAGAGGTCTTCCTTCTGACAGATCACTCTCGATGTTATCAAAATCAAAACTAGCCGAAGTCGCACGCGCCGATACAGCTACGTCTTCGCTAACACATGTAAAACTCTCAAAGTGTATGCCAGATCACACGTCGGTACTTAAAGGTTAAAGCTTAGGGCGAACCAGGTAAAGCATTGCTATATTGATAATTAAGGCATTTGGATCTATAAACATAAACTCTAGCATTATGTATCAATGCTATCCCAGTTGCAGCAGAGGTTCGCAGCACTTTTTACAGGACACTGGGCCCTAGGTACTGATGCAGCAATACTAGGATTGGAAGGCAACCCTTGTTGTCATAGCTGGAACTATTGAGATGCAGAGGAAATGGCATACCATCTCCTGTGCAACTGTAAGCATTTAGTAGGAGCATAATTAGGATTCTAGGCAAACCTTTCTTTGCAACTTCTTAGATTCCCAAATTCCACGCGCTAAATTTAAGAAATATAAGCTCGATATATTGCTTTATTTCGAAATCGGCCGCTGTGGTGTAGTGGTAAGCAGTGCGCGCTTTCACTCATCAGCACCTGGGTTCAAACCCTGGTCAAAGCAAAATCGCAAAAAATATAGAAAAAAGGTTTTTTCTTAACAGCGGTCGTCCCTCGGCAGTCAATGACAAACCTCCGAGTGTATTTCTGCCATGTAAAACAGCTTCTCGTAAAAAAATATAATCGCCATTCGTAGTCGGCGTAAAACTGTGGTCCCTCCGCTTTGTGGGACAACATCAAGGCGCACGCCACAAGTCGGAGGAGAGACTCGTTCAAACACTAACATATGTGTACGCGCCCATCTATTATTATTATTATAGCAGTTTAGAAATGTAATAGGCTGATGCTTTGCAATATACCAACTTGGAACTCAGCCGCGAATTCATTTCTTCCAAAAAATGTTGCCCTTCCGCGGTGTATGTTTTTCCTTCTTGTCTTTGTCTGGCTCACGGATTTCATAATATTGTCGGTTTAAGCAACCATCTGTATTTCAGGGCAGCCATCTCCCCTAACAAAGCTTCTAAGGACAGAGAATATGCCTTTTTTGTGTGACATTTCAAGGCACGAACGAAATTTTTCGGTGGAAACGAAAACACCATAAAGTACCAATATATATTCAATCCATCGGAGAGCCGTAAAATATGCTTCCGCTCAAAAATTTTTTTAACTTGTTTTAAATCTTAAAAATCACTGGCAAGTCCAAGGAATTTTGTGCTGTATGCAAAATTGAAAAAATAATAAAATTATACTAAAACACTATTATACTATTCAAAAATCAATGAGGCATTTCTTTTACATACCTTTTACGTCTGATTTGGAGTTAGCAGCTGTCCGTTTGACTAAGTAAGCTACACAAGGCCACAACAAAAAGCAGTAGTAAACGCAAACTAGGGGTAAACACTTCTCTATGCGTGAAAGATGCGTGCCAACTCAAATCGCTGTGGGATTTCATTATTCTTCTCAGCAATCGTAGAAGCAGCCAACCCCATGGGAATTCAAGTGGCCGCGGAGTACAAGCGAGCACGAAGTCAAAATGATTGCTTGAATTTGTCAAAAACTAATGGAAAATTGTGCTAGCGCACGCTCCAAACCCAAGTGGATACCAGAAAATGTCAGCATTCTCCAAGTGTTTGGATTTAAAAACATCTCGAAACAAAAAAGGGAAACTATGGAAGTAAAAGGACGAACGCCAGCACCAAAGCGTGTGCAAGAGCTAATAGTCACCGAAAATCATTTGCACACATTTACTCGTACATATAAACCTTTAACACTGTTTGTTTAACTTTTTCACTTTTGCATTTAGTTCTTCTTCTCGACTACTACTAACATGCATGTGTACATATGTACATACATACATACTTCTATCTACTTACCATTTATAACGTTGAGCATCACAGTCACACTGGGGCTATTTGACGGGCTACATGTGTAATTGCCATTATCACGTTTTTTCGCTGATTCAATGATTAATGAGCCGGTCTGTATTTGCCAGTTGAATACCAACGAAGCAGAGTGTCAAGAGTCAGTAACGGAGATAACATCGAAGGCCAAAGCCAATGTGTCCATTCCACCATCCAGAGGCAGAGTCGGTGCCAGTGAGTCAAAGATTTGCCATGTATCCACCATGAAAGCGGCCAAATAATTTTTTGTTGTTGTAATTGTTGTTGCGTGTGGAAGAGAAATCAAGAAAAGAAAAATTAATATGAAACAAGGTTATTTAGAAACGTGCTATTTAGATGGACAGAAATTTATTATTTCGAATTATCGGTGTTTTTTTTTTTGGTTAGAATTTTTTTGAAATAGTTATTGTTGCCAATTTTTTCTAGCCTTTGCTTTCAAATATTTAATGAAATTTTGGTCAGCTAAGCTGTCTCACATGAAAAATAAATATTTGGCGCTTACAATTTTTGTTAAATGCTAGGCCGAGTTTCTCCTCCAATTTGTGTGTGGCCCTGATTTAGAACTCAAATTGAGGGATCTCCGAACGTTATGCAGCCACCGAACGGCAAATAGGTTTATCAGAAGCTTTTTCAAAAGATACAATTTTGTAACTGAGCGCATTTCTGCCAAAGGAATTATAACTACATTGCACTCCGGGTACACATTTTTGAAAAGACCTGCTTACTCAACTAAGATTGTTCATAGAACTCAAATCATGAATTTAAAGACCCTTTAACCCTTCGTTCAGCTATAAGTCACACGGGTGGTTTTCGGCGATACTTTTTCAAAACTTTCCATGTTTTAATTAATTTAGGACTATGACCCTAATTGACTTTAATACGATTTCGTTTAGGATAATTTTCAACTCTATTTTTATACCCGAGCGCACTTGTGCACAAGGGTATTATAACTTTGTTCACATAACGGTTGTTTGTAACAGGTAAAACGAATCGAGATAGATATAGACAAATGTATACATAAATGATCAGAATGAAAAGAGAAATCGATTAAGCGGTGACTGTCTGTCCGTCCGTCCGTCCGTCCGTCCGTCCGTCCGTCTGTGCACACGATAACTCGAGTAAAAATTGAGATATCTTAACGAAACTTGGTACATGCACTTCTTTTGGGCGTAGGACGGATGGTATTGAAAATGGGCGAAATCGGACAATAACCACGCCTACCTCCCATATAACGGTAATTTTCAGAAATACGAAAACTGCGATATTTTAGTAACTACTGAAGATAATTCACTCAAAATTAATATTTAGAATAACTTTTAGACGAAAAATAATAAAATTAAAATTTTTTGGAAAATGGGCGTAGCCACGCCCACTTATAGTTACATGTGTATATCTTGGTAACTGCTGCACCAATTTCTTCCAAACTTTGCACAGTTGTTGGCCTTGACATCACCTACGAAATGACCGAAAATTTTAAAAAATCGGACAATAACCACGCCCACATCCCATATAACGGTAATTTAGAGAAATACGAAATCTTCGATAAATCGGTAAATATTGAAGCTAATTTATTCAAAATTGATGCTTGCAACAATTATTTAACAAGAAGTATGTTTATGATAAAATTTTGGAAAATGGGCGTGGCACCGCCCACTTATGATCACATATATGTATCTCGCTAACCGTTCTAGCAATTTGTACCAAACTCGGTATGGTTATTGTGCTTGCCACACAAAGCCAAACTCTTGAAAATTGTTGAAATCGGACTAAAATTATGGCCGCTTTTCATATAACGTTAAATTTAAGAAATGCTTGAAATTTCATTATTTCGAAATTTAAGGACGCTAATGTACTTAAAATTTATACACCCCGGCTTAGCATGTAGCGGTAGCTTTCGAAAAGATGGAAAACATATATTTAATACTTGCGCCGGGTATTTAATGTTCGGCTCCGCCCGAACTTAGACTTTCTTACTTGTTGTATTTAGTTTCAACTAAAAAAAATAAATAAATAAAAGTTCCTGTCTTATTCGTTTTTGATGTATTAGTCACCCCGGTGACTACATGTAATTGGACGTAATAATCGTAATCCGAATCGTAATATTCTGCTGCCAATTTTTCGCCTGTTTTATTCGAAATTTTTGGACGGATATGTATGGATCATTATGGATTATATGGATATCTATGGATCATTAGACAATAGCTTTTGCGATTATATTGTATTATCTTTTGAGATGTAAGCCTCATTTGTCTACATGGTTGGGAGTTGAACTTCAAGTGAGGTGCGGAACGGCCTCTGCTCTTCCAATTCCGATTCGGTTTCACTACACCGTGCGACAAAAGCTAACAAATTTCGAAACACATGAAGCAAACAATAAACCTACGAAACTGTGGGTCTAATATAGTAAAACTGCGTTTTTAGTTATTCTTTCTGGCGTTAGGATTATTTTTAAAGGACTTTGTACTTTCAAAGATATGATTAATTCCTAAACTTATTTAAAAAATTCATTCAAACGTAGAAAAACAGTAAGGGTAGCAAATGAAAGAGAAAGTTCTGTAAAATTACAAAAGAATTGGTTCGCAAAGACGAATAGGTATTGAAAATGTCCTTGTAATAAGTTTTATTTTATTTTTTGAAGTGAATAAAGTTCGAAGGACGAAATTCGAGGATGTGGTCGAGTGCCTAATAGTCCTTAACATATAATTTTTTCGAAAATAATTATTGTAAAATTTCAAGGATATTCAATGATAAAATGTTAAAATGACATTTTCATTACGTAATCGTCCTTATGTACCAAAAAATTTAATCGGCCTTAATTCTACAGAATTTTCTCTTGAATTTGATAGTCATACCGTTTTTATACATTGCACTGAATTTCTTTTAATTTTTTTAAGTACATAATTATATTTTTCAAATTTCAACGTCCTTAAAAAAATCCTCACATCAGAGAGAAAAACTAAACATGCAGTTTTGCTATATTTGGCCCATGGTTTCGTGCATACCTATATACAGTTTTGTGTAAGTACAATTTACTGTCGCACGGTGTTACAGTTGAATTTACGATCATCTTCCACGACATTAAATTCTGCCGGAAAGTCCTTTTCGAATATTCAAATATACAACAACAACAAAACCTCGTTAAAACAGTTTATCCGTCGCCTAATACCATTTAAGTTTCGTTTTCGGAAATTCAAATATACTTTTGCTCGCGGTGTATGCATAGCGCATGCAATATGTATTCATATAGTCACCGGGGTGACTAACAGTGTAACGACCAACTCAAAATTCTTCGCTGAAGCGAGGGTTAAGCTAATTCATTCACATATCATATCGTATTCAATTCAAATATTTTTATATTTTATAATTAACTTCTTCCAGAAAAGTCCCTAACACCCCTTCCCAGCATCATTCCTAAAATTTCGAAAGACAGGTGTATTAGCAAGATAATTCATGTTTTCTTCGACACACTCTTCGACACACTCGATAGTCTTTAAATAGATATTTCTTTTATTCTTAATGTTTGTTCACTCTACTGACTACAATTTGTACTCACTTTCATTGGAAAAAGGATCTTCCGATAAAAACTTTTGGAACAAAAGTGACATATGACTAACTCAGTGAGAGGGGAGACCACTATGTTTGCATGTATACATATAAACAAATTATTATTCGAACAAAAAATTGGGTAGGTACTGGTAAAGTGGCCAGAGTCCGTAAAGGCCTGTATGCAGCTCTCAAGAAAAGCAAAAACTCTATATAAAATAACGTACAAGAAATGGCTAAGAAATTTTCTTGAGTCAAATTTCCTTAAGGCAGTACGCAGTTCTTAAGAAATTTACTACGCTTTCTACTACGGTTTTCTAAAGTTTTTTGTGAAAAAAGAGCACAAGGCAACCCAGGTTTGCAACAGAAATATATGCCCGTTCCATTAATTCTTGAGGAAAGAGTGAGGCAACAGGCTATGAAGTATCCAAAATGTCAAAATTCATTGGACACATACGCGAAATAATGGCAATTTTTTCTTGACCGTTTTCTTGAGAGCTGCATATAGGGCTTAAATGGCTCCGGAAGCATTGTTCGCAGCATGCGTCCTACTAGGCCGAGTATGGTTTGAACTGCCATCAAATTATAACTTAAAGATGCTTTATCACATATTGTTGAGAAATACATATGCAAAAATTTCATAAATTTAATGAAGGAAAGTTTTGCTCATGCAGCAGTACATATCATGCATTTAGGCGCTTGGTGGTAGTAGTCGTGCCTAAACAACATAGACACCTTTATTCCCAGAATCCTAATCCCTGGTAAAGACATGTACATATATCCCATGCCGATAATACCACCAAAAGATGGACCATCCCTGATTTGGTAGGTCATAATTTTACACATTTCAATAAAAATATTTTTATTATTATTTAAAACATCGTCATTATTAAACATCATCGTTGAAATGCAAAAAGTCATATCTAATAAAAAATTCGAAATTCACTTTTTGATTTATATGATGGATTTCATCGAATTACAACTCCCGACATCATTTCATAAAAAAAATATTAGTCACGACTTTTGTCATTTCATTTACGATGTTGTTACGTCTTTTTGCAGTTCAGGTGACGATATGTACTTAAAATAATAAAAATAATAATTTTCCTAAGTACCGTGAGAAATTTTGTCTGGATCTGCCCCAGGCCGTAAAAAAACTTGTCCATCTTGTTGCTCGCGGGCGAAGTAAAAAAATCACAAATCAAAGAAGTGTTAAATCGGAGAATATTTTGTCGACAGTCGACAATGGAATTCGCTGTTAGCAAATTGAAGGTTGCGTGCCTCGAAGTGGACGAACGCAGAGGTGGATGAAGCAGCGTTGCCCACTATAAATACGAAATTGTCGATAGTGTCGCCATCGATGGTTCTTCATAACTTGACATACATTCAAATGTAAACCTATGCCCAAAATATTAAAAACACGACATTTTAACCAGTTTTGTTAAACTTTTCTTTTTTTCTTTAAAGTTTATTAACTTTTTTTAAGAGTACTGAATCTTTTTTTATTTAATGTTTTGCAGCATGGTGTATTATCTA